GTGGGGGCAACAGTACCTCCAGTTTGACCCACACCATGACTCACCTGGGCATCAGTGGGGGCCTAGGCATGGCCCCAGGCTATGATGCATCAGGTGAGTGGCTTTCCTGGCCATGTGCCCACAGAGTGCAACCTGCCTGGAGGGACAAGGGGAGGGAGACTTGAGCATGTGGGATCTGCCTGTGAGTGCCACCCTAGACTATCACCTCTTTACCCCAGGATTTCTTCACTGCAATTTTCAGCCAGTCAGAACTGGTAGGTGTGGCTTTTCCTAGAAAGAAAAATGGAGAGCAGCCCTCAGGTGGGCAGTGCTAACCTTACTGTCAGGGACAGAGTAGGAAGGACATTATGTTGCCACATCCATAGTCTGGTCACTGCTACCCATTCCAGGAGGAAAGGGGCCCAGTGCCCATCAGTAATGTTGGCATCTCTGGTTTTTTGTCTGTGCCTGCAGGACTTCATTCACCTCTCAGCCACCCATCCCTGCAGTCTTCCCTAAGCAATCCCAACCTCCAAGCTTCCCTAAGCAATCCTCAGCCCCAGCTCCAGGGCTCCCATAGTCACCCCTCATTGCCTGCCTCCTCCTTGGCCCACAATGCACTGCCCACCACCTCCCTGGGCCACCCCTCACTCAGTGCACCAGCCCTCTCCTCCTCCTCTTCCTCCTCCTCTACTTCATCCCCTGTCCTGGGCGCTCCCCCTTACCCAGCTTCTACCCCTGGGACCTCCCCCCGCCACCGCCGTGTACCCCTCAGCCCCCTGAGTTTGCCCGCGGGCGCAGTCGACGCCAGAAGGTCCCAACAGCAGCTGCCCAAACAGTTTTCGCCAACAGTGTCACCCACCTTGTCTTCCATCACTCAGGTATGCGTGGCTGCCTTCCCTACACGTTTCTCTCTTTCCCCTTCTCTTCTGCTAAGTTCTCTTTCCTGCACTCTTTCTTCAAATACCTCTTCTCTTTCCTTCTGGTACCCCCTTGTCTTAACCTGTCCCTTTTCATTCCTCTGTTCTTCACTTGCTTATCTTTTATCCTTCTTGACGACTCTTTGCTTAAGAGTGCAAACCTTGTTAGTTAAGCATTGTGGCTTTAAATCTTGGCTCCATCTCTTATTGACAGTCTCCTTGAACAAGTTATTTAACTTTTAAGAACCTCAGTATCCTCATCTATAAAACCAGGATGATATCATGGAGATCAGATGAAATAACATTCAGGAAGTGTTTAGCATTCAGCTTGGCCCAGGTCCAAGTTCAAATATGGTGGTTTCTCCTCTCTCTCTTCTCCTTTGTCCATTTCTCTCCTTTTTTGTTCTCTTGTGCCTCTGTCCTCCTCCTATCCCCTCTCCAATTCTGCCTCCCTTCCCAGAATTCATAGAGTCAGAGAATCAATCTCACATCATAAAGCCCATTCCCTTCATTTTATAGATGAGGAAACTGGGACACAGAAGAAAAATGACTTTTCCAAGTTGACACAGCAAGTTAGGGGATTTGAACTCAAAACTCTTACTTTAGGGCTTTTTCCTTAATGCTTAAATTCTCAACTGTTCCCTTTGCATCTTTTTCTTTTTCTCCTTCTGTTCTCTCCTTTTCTTCTCACCTCAGTGCCCTTCTATGCCCTGTCCTCTGCCCTGCTTTCTCCTCCTCCATTACCGTTCCCTGGAATGTGTGTTCTGTGTTCCATCTTTACCCAGATCTCCTCTCCTATAGAAAATAGAGAGACTAGGCCAGCAAAGGCTCTGCTGTCTTGGAGCCTTGAGTGAGCCTAACTCACCCTCCTCCTGTCTCCTTTTTTACTCCCTCCCTTATTCTGGCCTCTTCAAGGCTTTAGAACAGAAGTTTTCAACTTCACTATTGTGTTACTGATTACTTGTGAGGTGTGTCATAAGTACTTGATTTCTAACAGTAGTTAAATACCAAAGTTTAGGAATGATTTACTTTTGGAGTAAATTCAAAATTGTTTTTAATGTTAGTCACTTTCATTCTGATACGCATTTTTGAGTAATTGTACCCAACCCCAGGGACATTCATGGGAGCATTGTCATGTTTGTATTGAGAATGGTAGTAGCCTAAAAGGGTGGGGAATCCTAAGAGCAGCTCTTAGAGGGTACATTAAAGGGTAAACTTCTCCCTTTTTCCTTGCTTCTCTTCAGGGCGTCCCCCTGGACACCAGTAAACTGCCCACTGACCAGCGGCTGCCCCCTTACCCATACAGTCCTCCCAGTCTGGTTCTGCCCACCCAGCTACCCACCCCAAAGCCTCTACAGCAGCCAACGCTGCCCTCTCAGGCCTGCTCAGTTCAGCCCTCATGTGGGCAGCCCCCAGGAAGGCAGGCACACTACGGGACACTGTGCCCACCCAGCTCTAGTGGGTATGAACTAGTACAGTCTTACCGCCGGCCAATGAGTGACATCAGCCTGGGGAACGTGAGTAACTAGGCCCCTGGCTCAGAATCAAGGGAGGGGTTTGGGGTTGGTCAAGGGGTACTGAGTGACGTCTTTGGTATATTTCTGAATTGGGAAACCTGAATTGAGATGCCCCCAGCTAACATAGCACTTTGAGCTTGGGGTTCATCTCTTCCTGCATTGGCCTCTACTGTCCTATGCCTACCTGTCTCTCTCTAGCTTTCTCTGCTCAGCTTGCTCTTTGATAGCCAGTGCTTAGACCTAACCATTCTCTTTCTAGCATGCATGTGCTTTCTTCCAGCAAGTATAGGATCCACCTCCGACCCTAGGATTCACTGCTGTCACTCTGCTTTCTGCCTCTTCTAGCTCTGCCTTTGTCCCTGGAGGGCATGAAGATTGCTGGGCAAATGGGATATATTAGTGGGACTAGGCAGGACAGGCAGGAACACCCTGTTCTGAAGCCTACTTCTTCAAGGTCTATCTGTATGTCCATAGCTGGAGCAGTTCAGCATGGAGGGCTCATCAGCCAGCCTGGTGCTGGATCCCCCTGGCTTTTCTGAAGGGCCTGGATTTTTAGGGGGTGAGGGGCCAGTGGGTGGCCCCCAGGACCCCCACGCCCTCAACCACCAGAACTTGACCCACTGTTCCCGCTATGGCTCAGGGCCTAACATCATCCTTACAGGTGAGCAGTGTTTGCATGGTGATGGGGGTGGGAGGAGGAGTGATATAGTACAAGATTGAGGGGTCTTAGAAAGAGTTTGCAGGGCATAGGGTCCTCACACATTTCCTCTGCCCACACAGGAGACTCCTCCCCAGGTTTCTCTAAGGAGATTACAGTAGCCCTGTCTGCAGTGCCTGGCTTTGACTTGTCAGAAGCTGAGTTGGAGCTGGGTCTGGGGCTGGAGGATGAGCTGCGCATGGAGCCACTGGGCCTTGAAGGGCTGAATATGCTGAGTGACCCCTGTGCCCTGCTGCCTGATCCTGCCGTGGAGGATTCGTTCCGCAGTGACCGGCTGCAGTGAGGGGACCTCATCACCATCCCTCATCTTGGCCCCATCCCTATCACTGTCCCTTTCCTCCCTTTCCCCTGGCCAGTAGAGACTCCACTCTCTGCCCCCAGATCCTCTTTCTAACATGAATGAGGGATCCCCAAAATAAGAGAAGGCAAGGGGTTTGTCTAGGTAGCCCCTGAATTCTGCACTAGGGGTGGGTCTGGGGGAGTTCAAGGGAGGGCCTAAAGCACTTGTAACTTTGAACCGTTGGAGGTCAGAGCCTGTTGGAAAGTAGGGGGTAGAGAGGAGCCCCGGAGGCAGGGCTTGTCCGGATGCCTGAGGGTGGGCAGTGCCAGCCCCTCCTCACCACTCTTCCCCTTGCAGTGGAGGAGAGAGCCAGAGTGGATATTATTTTTTATTAAATATATTATATGTTAATAAAAAAATCATACCAAACCCTTATTGTGTTTGACTGCTGTTTGGGGTGGGGCTGGAGATCTAGGGAATTCTTAGGGCACAGGCCCTTTCATCTGCTGTTATTTTGTATATTCTCAGCACTGTTGCGCTCTCTGTGGAAGGGCTCTCCAGTCTCAGGATTTGTACCTGGCATTGGACACTGGGGCCTGGCACTGGGAAGTCACCTCCTGTGCCCTCTTGTCTGTCCAGGGCCTTCTGCAGCATCAGGAGATGAGGGCTCTGACTAGCCAGAGAAGTTACTGCTCTTTCTCAGCCTCAGAGCCTGGCAGTGATTTGGGGTGAGGAGGCAGCTGCTAGATGAGCTCACAGGTCTGATGTTTCCAGAAAAATGACTCCCACTCACCTGGTAACTGGTCTCAGTGCTAAGGCTACCAAGGAGAAGGGATTTAACACCTGTGGACTCCAGGTAAATCTCAGGCTGGCTTCCTCTTTATGGCCCTTTAAGCCTAGAGGACTTAGAAATAGGACAAGTGGTATTTGGCCAGTCTGTGGCCCTATGACCCTAGGTCTTAAGAAAGTCCTCACGTTTGTGTCATCACTGCATGACTTCACTGCACCCTCCTGACTTCTCCATTAATTCATTTGTATTTTGATTCAGCAGATGATTGAGTGCCAACCATGTTCTGACTGTTTCTTTCTGGGTTGTATTGCTAGCTCTGATTATTTGGGCCTCTGCTGTCTTCTCTCTTCCCCACTCAACATAGTGAGAAGAGTAATGCCCCTCCTCAGTTACCCTCACCTTCACTGTTCCACACCATACATTGCTGGCCTGTCTTCCTCTTTCCAAAGTGCTTTTCATTTTCAGAAACGAGAACTGAGAGCTTCTGGCTCCAAAGGAATACAGTTTGCCTTTAAACCTAGAACTGGGGGCAGCCATCTGGGTTCCCGCAGCCTAGGTCTTCAGGCTTTCTCCCTTTTCCAGGCATACGAACGACATCTTTTGACTGCAGCACCCAGGGCTAGACAGGAACTCGCCTTGCACTTCAGGGGTTCCCTGGGGTTTGTCCTGCGGCATCGGCTGCGTTGTGGGAAGCTGCCTGCGTGCAGAGGGCCCTCCCAGCCGCCAGGGGTCGCGCTACAGGCAGCCGAGCGCTAGGCCGGCGCTGCCAGGGTCACGGCCGCCGGCCAGGGAGGGGGGTCGGGAGAGCTGCGGCGCCCGCGGCTCGAGAGGGGGGGTGGAGGGGGTCGGAGAAAAAGCGGGGCGTGCGGAGGAGCGCCGGTCCCCCAGCGCCGCGGGAACTGGGAGGACTGCGCGGCCCTAGAGAACGGCGCGGCAGCACAGTCCCCGCGTGGCGCAGCGCGGCGGGGACGCTGGGACCTCCCCGCGCCCAGGCACCCTCAGCCGCCTCTTCCTTCACTCGCCGCCCGGGCAGCAGCGGCGCCCAAGTCGGATGCGCCATGTCCGGGGCCGGGTAGCCGTGCCGCCCGCCAGCCCGCCCTCCGAGCCACCCGCCAGAGCCCGGCCGGCCGGGGAGTAGCGGGGCAGGCAGGTAGGGGCTGCGGCGGGCGGGGAAGGAAGGGAGGGAGCGCCGGCCAGGCGGGGAATATCCCCCAGCTGTTCCTCGGCGCTGCACATCTGGTTCCGGTTCCTCTCTCCTGGGGAAGTGAAAGTGGAGGGGAGGGCACTGCTCAGAGTTAGCTTTGCCCCAGCATCCTGCACCCTCTTGCTCTCGCGGGTGTCAGAGCCAGCGCTCCCCTCCCTCCCGCTTGGATCGTACGGCGGCTGGCGCTCCTGCCGCGGCGTCCTCGACCGTCAGCGCGCAGGCTCCTCTGCCCTCTCGCTCTTTCTTCAGCCTCCTCCCCTTCGGCGCGCCCTCTGCCCTGACCCGAACTTCCTCACTCTCAGCTTGTGGGCGTTGGGACCCTGAGTGGTGCCCTTGCCAGGTTGCCTTCCTCAGAGAGAAAGGGTTGCCTTCTCTGCAAGACTCTTGCCTGGCTCAGTGAGAGAAGGCCCAGGCACGCAGGTCCTACGCAGGATGGGTGCTATCTCACCCCTCAGCTTGTCCTACCTAATGGCCCCAGCCTGCTGCTTTGGGCAGAGGACTGCCATTCGCCTGCAGTGGATAAGGAACGGGGCTGTGCCCCAGAGCTAAATCAGGACACTGACGCTGACTCCTGGCTTCACCTCCCAGAAGTAGGGGCTAAATTTAGCTGGGATTGGGGTGTTTGTTGAGGGGGGCAGAGGCCAGGTTAAGGAAGGAACCAGTCTGGTTTCATGAGATTCCCTTGCTCCCTGTTCTCTGGGGAAGGGTCCTGAGTTAAGAAAACTTCACATCTTGGAGGAATTTTGAGCCTCCTCTGCCAAGCTCTTAGTCAAATTCCTCCTGGGCATGCTGCTGTGCCGGCACCTTCAACAGTACTCCACCACCACCACCACCACCACCACCACACAGACACAAACACACACACACACACCCCATACCCATAGGCTGACTTCCGCTGAGCTGCAGCTTCCCCTCCACTGTTACAGGAAGTCACCTCCCTTCCCCTCTGAAGCACCCCCCATGCCTCCCGGCCCCTGCTGCAAGCCACCCACCAAGCTCTTTCTCAGCTTCTGCATCCTGGGACTCCCCACGACCCTGGGGGCACCTACTCCCCTGGGCTGGGCCATGGAGGCAGGTGAGAACACGGGAGCCGAGGGCCCAGTGTGGCCCTGTTTCGGGAAGTCTCTGTATTCTGTGGAGGAGGGCATGGAGATGGCTGGTATTGCTTCCAGTGGCTACTTTGTACTTAACCAGGGGTCCTGGAGGTGAGAGGACAGTGGCTCTTTGGTCAGGTTAATGGAGTTAGGTTAAGGAAACTTCAATCTGGTGAAAAGACACTAAAGCTTGGGTTTTGTGAGTTTTCCCAGAAACCTGTGGGGGCCTCATGAAAACCTAGAAGTGGGTTCTTTAAGAACATTAGCTGGATCGCAAGGTTCTTATGATGTGACCAGAGTAGGAAGGTCAGAAACCCTTAACAAGAGTGTATGATGTCATGGTCAGAATGAATGATGTCATTGTAGGCCATTACAGAAAAGACTAATCTCTGTGATGTGTATGAGTAGAGAGCGAGGAGGGGTGAGACCTTTAAAGGAGATATATGAACAATATGACATCTTCACTCAGGTTAGCTGTGTGTGGTAGAGTGGAGTTTGGGATCTTTGGGAAGAGAGCTGGTACCACTAAGCATGAAGGACTTGGTCTCCTTAAGGAGCTATGGTGGGCTGTGAGGGCCTGGTGATGTCACAGGCAGGAGAGGTCAGGATTGGCTAACCACTTATCCTGTCTTTGGGTGGTCTAGGAGCAAGAGGATACCCTGGTTGCCATGACAACACCCACCATCCTTACTTCATTTCTCCCCCCTTAACCATTTCCAGATGCAGTAAGTGAGGGGGGGGCCATGGCGGAGGAGCGGCCCCCCCGGCTGGTGGATTACTTCGTGGTAGCTGGGCTTGCAGGGAACGGAGCACCCATCCCTGAGGAAACGTGGGTTCCTGAACCCAGTGGGCCCCTGCGCCCTCCCCGACCAGCTGAACCCATCACTGATGTGGCAGTCATTGCTAGGGCACTGGGCGAGGAGGTGCCCCAGGGCTACACGTGCATCCAGGCTTCTGCTGGGGGACATCCCTTGGAACTCAGTGCGGGGCTTCTGGGTGGAACTCAGCCTGTCATCTGCTACCGCAGGGGCCGTGACAAGCCCCCCCTCGTTGAGCTGGGGTGTGTGCCTCTACTCATGGCTAGCACCAGAGGAAGTTGGGAGGGTGTCTAAATGAGTTTGAGACAGGTAAAGGTAGGGGGTGAGGGAAAGGCAATGGGAAAGGAAACAGATTGGGCTAGCCCCACCACCCACCAGCCCACCAGCCTGCTCTCCGAGCCACCTGCCATTGGGCCAGCCAGCCTGGGAGTTGCAGGGCAGGCAGGTAGGGGCTGTGGCAGTGACAGTGGGTTTTATGTACTTAGTCATCACACAGATTTGCATTTGTGTACAAGCATGGCTGCTTGCTTGCTGTGTGATCTCAGGCAGGTTATTGAGCCTCTCTGTCTAAAATGAGCATAATAATACCTCTTCATAGCATGGTTGAGAAGATTAAATGAGATAGTCAGTGTAAAGGATTTAGTAAGTGGTAACTCTTACTAGTCTCAGTATTTATTAATGAGCCTGAGAGCCATGGAAGGCATAACGGTTTGTTACTGACCAAGAAATAGAAGAGGGGGCACAGAATTCTGAAGGGCAGAGTTCAGCAAAGAAGAGGTAAGCCCTGGTGTTGAGATTTGATGAGGCTGAGGGTACAAGACAGTTTTGGGGGAATATGTAGGCAGATCGGTCAGATCGGGGTCTTTTTCCTCTGTCATGAAGTGCTGACATCTCTCTGCTCTGTGTGCCAAGGGTATTATACGAAGGGAAGGAACGTCCTAAGCCTGGTTTCCAAGTACTAGACACGACACCCTATAGCCACTCAGCTAACCTGGCCCCTCCAGGCCCTGGGCACCCCCGCACCTACCTCACTTACCGGCGGGCAGCAGAAGGGGCAGGGCTGCATGCCTTGGGCATCACTGACCTCTGCCTGGTCCTGCCCAGCAAGGGAGAGGGCACTCCTCACACCTACTGTCGACTGCCCCGCAACCTCAACCCTGGCATGGTGAGTGGGGCCCTGGGACCATCTTGGTGTGAGGGTATGGACCCTGAGCACAGAGGGCATCCTAGGGCCAAGGCCTCCAACAGTTGAGGCAGGCCCAGGGGGGTGATTCTGGTCTTCAGAATCATGGGTTAGTGGGTGCTCTGAAGATGGACCAATTAGGGAAGGTTGAGAGAAAATAGACCCCAGAAACCTTTGTTAGCTATGTATCTGCTTGTCTCTTGCCATCTCTGGGGCAGTGGGGCCCAGCAGTGTACCTGTGCTACAAGGTGGGCCTGGCCAAGGCCAACACACTGGTATACGAGGCAGGTGAGTGGCCTCTTTGTCCCTTCAACTCCTTGTCCCTCCATGTTTCTCTCTAGGCCTTGTGGCTGGTACTTTCAGTAGCCCCAGTACTCACTTTCCCCTTGCCACTTGGGCCTTTTCTGGTATCCCCTGGTTTCTTCCCCTGGAGTCTGATGGACCCTCCTCCTTTTGGGTACCCTAACTCTGCTGGGGGTGCAGAGCTGCTGGGCCGCTACCCAGAGGAGGACAATGAAGCGTTCCCGCTACCTGAGTCGGTACCCGTCTTCTGCCTGCCCATGGGGACCACTATTGAGTGCTGGCCTGCCCAGACCAAGTACCCTGTGCCTGTCTTCTCCACCTTTGTGCTCACGGGTGCAGCTGGTGATAAGGTGGGTGTTTGGAGTGTGATTTGGAGCCCAGGCTGTGCAGGGCCCCCCTGACCTCTGCTCTGCCCCCTGCCAGGTGTATGGTGCTGCTCTGCAGTTCTACGAGGCGTTCTCCAGGGCCCGGCTGTCGGAGCGGCAGGCACGGGCACTGGGCCTGCTGAGCGCCGTGGAGCGTGGCCGGGCGCTCGGGGGCCGGGCGGTGCGCAGCCGTCGCGCCATTGCTGTGCTGTCCCGCTGGCCTGCCTTCCCTGCCTTCCGAGCCTTCCTCACCTTCCTTTACCGATACTCCGTCTCAGGTCCCCACCGACTGCCCTTGGAAGCGTGAGCAGGGCTCTCCTGGGATACTGGGAAGAAGTTTTGAAGGGATCGGGAGGCCAGGAAAGATGGCAGAGATCAGGGTGCAACTGGGAGGGGGTTATTTGTGAGCAGAGGGGCGGAGGGCAGAGTTGCTGTGTGTCGTTGTCCAGTTTATTTATTGCAAAAAAGCCTCTGGCTGAGGGGGTGAGAGGGACCTGGAATATAGTTGACATTCTAGCTAAGTCTTGGCAAGGGGTTGTATTTGCCCAGAGGGGTGCTCTTCTGATTTGCAGAAGTTCTCTATATAATTGTGGCTGTAATGGCTGATACAGGTCTTGAGGTAAGGCTCAGGGAGAAATAAGGTCCTTGAGGAAAAGTGAAGAAAAAGAGCAAATTGGGGTTAGGGAGTAGGAGAGGGAGATAAGACAAGGATAGATGGAAGAGTCTGCCTCTAACCTGTTTTTTTCCCTCCCCCAGGCACATCTCCCACTTCATTCACAACGTACCCTTCCCTTCCCCACAGAGACCCCGAATCCTAGTGCAGGTGAGAACTGAGGCTGAGCATGGGGCTGGATGGGAGGAGGGGAGTTCGCCTCTGTCTCAGAGAGACTGGCCTTGTGCTGATCTTTCTAAAAGAAGTTATTCAGGCAGCCATTATCATTCTGACTAGTGGCTCTTCTGCCCTCCTAGATGTCTCCCTATGACAACCTGCTCCTCTGTCAACCTGTGTCCTCACCCCTGCCCCTCAGGTATGTGCGTAGCTTGGCGGGGGGTGGTTTGATAACCATGGACATGACAAGTGCTAGAGTGGTGGGCACAGCTCATCTATACAGGCTGGGCCCAGGTGGCATCTGTGCGCCATGACTGGGGAAGGGGGTCTCTGGTTTCCTGGTGACTCTACCCCACGTTGGTATTGCCTGCAGTGGTGCCAGCTTCCTGCAGCTGCTGCAGAGCCTGGGCCCTGAGCTGGCTATCATGTTGCTGCTGGCTGTGCTCACGGAGCACAAACTACTAGTCCACTCGCTGCGGCCAGACCTGCTCACCAGCGTCTGCGAGGCCCTCGTCTCTGTGAGTGTCACCAGAGCCAGCCCACCTTCCTGAAACCATTGTTCTTTCTGGTGCCCCGCTCTCATCTTTTCCTGGACCTTTCCCCTTTTCCTTCTTTGAGTAGGGTCCTCAGCCTCTCTCCCTGGACACAGCCCATAGGACATGCAGCTTCCATCAAGTGATCCTCTTTGGAGCCTAGTCCCAGTAGCTTCTCCTAAGCAGGCGCCCCTCCCACCCCGCCAATGCCCATTCTGTCCTCTTCCCATCACCGCTGCTGTAAGCCTTGCTCACTGATTCTCACCCCCTGGTACTTCAGATGATCTTCCCATTGCACTGGCAATGCCCCTACATTCCTCTGTGCCCACTGGTGCTGGCAGATGTGCTGAGCGCCCCGGTGCCTTTCATTGTGGGTATCCACTCCAGCTACTTCGATCTGCATGACCCACCTGCTGATGTCATCTGTGTCGATCTTGACACCAACACGCTCTTCCAGTAAGAGGGCTGGGTCTCAAGCAGGAAACATCCAGGTGGGGCATGACAGGGCTGGTGTAGAGTGCTACCTTCTCAAAAGGAGGGTCAGGCGAAAAGTGGGGGAGAGTGGTGAGGAGGTGGGCTGACTTCCAAGTTTATCATCCTTCCTTCCTTATGCCTCCTATCACAGGACTGAGGAAAAGAAGCCCCTCTCCCCTCGGACCCTGCCCCGCAAGCCCTACAAGGTTTTGCTGGCCACACTGACAAACTTGTACCAGCAGCTGGACCAGAGTGAGAAGTCTGGTGGAGGAGTTGGGGGTGGGAGACTGGAAACTGTCTTGGACCTTAAGCCTCCAGTTTGGGGAAGCATGTGGGGAACTAGACATGACTTGAGAAGGTTAAAAGAGTTAGGATTCAAATTCCAATTTAAGCAAGAGAGAGGGGCATGCAGTATTCCTGGAGCATGTTGGGAAGGTTGAGCTTGTCACTAAGGAGGCTTAAAACTGTTAGCTGGACATGGTGAATGGAGAATGAAACTAAATGTACGTGTGACTTTGACTGTAAAACAAGCTCTTAAAATAAAACAAAAAAAGTTAAGAACAAAAAACCTGTTAGCTGGACATAAGTTTGTAGCTCATATTGGTGCAAAGTCTGTTAAAGGCTGGAGATGGTGGGGCAGTGGTGGAGACGTCTGTGTGAAGAACAGAGTTGAGGCAAGCACTATGGTGCTGACCCTGACTCTCAGGTCACACTGGTCCCCAGCATATACTGGACCTGAGGAAGAGGCATCCCTGGAATTCCTGCTGACAGACTATGAAGCAGTGTGCGGCCGCCGGGCCCGGCTGGAACGTGAAGTCCAGGGTGCCTTCCTCCGCTTCATGGCCTGTCTGCTCAAAGGCTACCGGGACTTCCTGCGCCCACTCACCCAGGCCCCCTCTGAGGGAGCTCGAGATGTGGACAACCTCTTCTTTCTGCAGGGTAAAGAGGGCCTGTCTCTGCTTGGGGAGGGTCTCACTAGGATGGCCAAGGCTGGGCCCCACGGGAAAGCAGGGAAGACTGAGATCCATACAGCTGCTTGTTTATTCACTCAGCAAATGTTTCTGTGGATACTTGCTTTGAGCCAGGCACTCAGCTGGGCTTGGAGGAATAAAGGTACAAAGATGACCAGCTGTAGAGGGACTGAAAAATAATACAACCACTTTGGAAATCAGTGTGGCGATTCCTTAAAAAGTTGGAAATAGAAATACCATTTGATCCAGCAATCCCATTACTAGGTATATATCTTAAAGAAGGGGAGCTCTGGTAGCATAGTGGCTAAG